CCTGCCGTACCCCCCCAGTCAGTGCTGAAGTGTGATGAGTCAGGTTAAATGCTTCCGTGAAGCTCGTTAACTCTTAAATGAGTGTGTGCAAAGATGCGCGGCTTGTGGGGTCCTTCAAGAGGTGATGGACGAGTGTGTGAGGGTTTGACCGGGGCTGCCTGGCAGCATGGGGACACCTGAGAAGGCTGCTGGTGGGGTGGGGATGCCAAGCTGGGCCGAGCACTGCTCCTCTTCCCAGGGCTGCCCTCTCCCAGCTGTGGGCACGTGTTAGAAAACAACCAGTTAAGTTTAATTTGTAGCCAGAGGGATTTGATTACTTGCTTCTTGCGTTCGCTTTTTATTACCGTGGCTTGGGATGGTGACTACCTTGCAGTGTAGATCCAGGGTCTGGATCTTTCTGGGAGTTTCAAAGCCCAGTGCAGCAGCAGCGGGGGTACCCTCGCTGCCTTGTAGCCCAGCTACCCTGGTCAGGTGTCCCGGCCAGTACGGGGTGAGAGTGTCAGCCGGCTCTGAGCTTCCCCAGCCTTTGCAGAGCAGGAGGGAGCCTCAGAGCTGGGGTTTTGGGCAAAGCTCTGGCACTGAACGTTCCAGATGGCAGAGGGATGGGAGGGGAGGGTGCAGGCTGGCATGCACATGCGACAGGAGGAGGAGACTTGTGTCAATGAAACGATGACCAGGGAAGATGGAGCAGGGCAGAGGTTTCCCCATGGTTCGCAGCCGTCTGAGGAGGATCTGAGTCTGTGGTTATCCTGACCCTCTGGGAAGCAACTTTGGCCTGTTTGACCAACACCCAAAGAATTTCAGCTCAAGTACTTCTGGCTGCTGCAGTTGCCACGTGTTGTATCGCCCCAGGGATGCACTCCTACGTACAGCCAACCGTGACTCGGGTAGGAAACCCTCCCCGACCTCTCCGTGTCAGAAACTGCAGGACCACATCACCTGGGCGAAGCCTGGGAGCCCTGACACACCGCGCTCCCTCCTCTTACCTTCGTATGTCTCAATAGGAGCCACTGGGCCAGAGTCTGGTTTGAGCCGGATGAGTTTTGAGCTCTTTGAGGATGCTTAAGAAAAATCAGAAACACTCTTTTCCTGACTGCTTAGCACCGTTCCACGTCCTACCCTGCCACGAGCAGCTCTGCTAGGAGAACAATGCCAAGCCGAGCCAAGAACACCGCTCTGGCAGCTCGGCATCTATTTCTGCACCAGACAGCTGGTACCTGCCAGACAGCTCCCTCCTTCTCCCCTCCTCAAAGCTCGGTGGAGAAGCTCGACGCGCCACGCCGCTGCAATGCACAGAGCAGGGGGCTGAGCTACTCACACGCCCCCTTCACGCACGTTCAGTGGTGTGAATCGGGTTATTCAGGATAAGGATCTACAAGTCCAAACAGCTTAAAAAAGATCTACTGGCCATGGCCTCGGTTTGTTGGACGTCGTGCCAACTGGCACCCAAAAAACCTGCTATGAGTACAGCTAGAGGGACAAATGCTACGGAGGTGGTATCTGGCAGGGCTTGCGATGGGGTCCTGCAGAGCTCCAGCCCGGCTCGCTCCCAGCACGTTGTTCCCGTGCCTTGTGCCTTGAGAGTGTTCTGTGCGCCCTGCTTTTCTCTGCGGAGCGGCTACGCAAGACAATAAAATACTTCTGAGTGCTGTGGTGGGGAGAGGGCTCCCAGGGCCAGCCCGGTGTGGCTGGGCTGGGGTAATTCATCAGGATAAGGGGCTGGCCCGGCCAGGTTGGTGCTTTCTTGGGGTTGTGGGGCTACCCAGACCATCATACCGCACCGAATGACCAGGGTGCTGGGAGGAGGGCCATTGCTCCCAAGTCAATCTGATTGGGCTTGGCGCTTGGCAGGCTTGGGGCAAGGTTGGTCCTTGCCGAGATCCCACAGGACATTTAGGAACAGGTCCAACATGTTTTGTGGTGAGCCAGCCCTCGCACAGTGCTGTGGTGCTCAGGGGGGTGCTGGGTGGGCCGTGATGCTACGTCCCACCGGTGCCGGTCACATCCCCACAGTGATCGCAGTGGCAGGAGGTGGCTGTGCTCCCCACCCCCGGGGCTCAGCCATGGTCAGAGCAGGCCCATGCCTGCCTCTGAGGCCATATGGGAGGCTGCTGTGGTGTTGGGGCCTCCTCAGGCCTCCGCAGCTTCCCCTGGTCCTGCGGTGGGCTGGTGCAGTGTCCAGACCCTCCTCCACCATCCAGCCTCTCCAGCCTCCATGGCTGTGACAGGCCACCATGGTGCCACCATCCATCTGCATGATGGCTGAGCAGGAACATGGTGGCCCCTCCTCAGGGGTGCTCAGCAGGGACCTGGCACAGTGCGGGGGCACTGGGGCCCGTTGTCCCTGCTGTGAGGGACGTGGGGCAGCCCAGAGGAGAAGGAGCAGCTCCATGGGTCCCCAGGGTGCCCAAAGCCCCACATCTTTGCAGTGAGTGCTGTTGGTGGCCCTGGGGACCATATCCCTGTGGAGAAGCCCCTGCAGTTGTACTCATCCCTCATGAGGAGGGGGCCACGGCCGTGAGGAGGATCCGTGGAGTGTTGGGAGCAGGGTGATCTGCTAACGAGGCTTGGCCCTGTTGGGCCAGCACAGCTGATCAGCCCAATCAATCTCACCCAATTAATCTCACCCAATTAAATTAAGATGGATGAGCCTTGCCCCATGGCAAGAAACCTCTTCCACAAGCAGTTGAGGTGCCCATGGGCTCTTCTGGGGCCTGGGGACACCCCTGCAGCCATCCCAGCCCCAAACACATCTCCAAAAACACCTCTATGGTGCTGGGTGAGCAGAGCTGAGCTGAGGTGGACCCTCTGAGTAGGAGAGCAGATTGAATGATGGTGGGTCATGCTGAGGAAGGGTGGGTTGTGCTGACCTTTGGGCACTGGGGGAGAAACCTGTCCTGCACCGTCCTTGGGGATGGGCCTGGCCTTACCTCGCATGTTCTCAGGAGGGTCTGGTGGCTTCGGCTTGGGTCCAAGTGCTGCCGTGTTTGATGGGCGCTGAACAGCTTACGGTGGGATTAGTTAGAGAGAGCATCAGATTTAGTACAGATCCTCCTCTTGTTTGCTTAAAAAAGGTGGCAAAGGGACACTGGAAGCTCCAGGCATGTATCTAGGGTGGGTTGGTGGAGCCATAGCTGGTTGAGGATCTGTTGAAGCAGAAATGAGAGACAGAGTCTCCTGGAAATTAGCCTTTAAGCGTGAAGAGAGGCAGAAAAAGTACCCCTAAGGGGAGTTGCTGGGTGGGCCGGTGTTGGCATGTGGTCATTACGTTGCCCAGGCATGGAGGGGAGTTAAACCTGCCAGCCACTGTCAGGACTTGGAAGTCCCCGTTGCTCAGCATGGACTGTCAACATCGCCTGGCATTGGCGCCCATGCTATAGGTCTACCCCTTGTTACTCTAACAAACACGGTTTTGTCTCTCTCTAAGGCCAGAGACAGACCCAAAAGCACAACAGTTTCAAAGAGCCTCAGTTTCAGCGCTTTCTGCCCCGCAGCTGAGCATTTACACGCACGGGGTTGTGTCTGGGGCCCCGCGTCAATGGCTGTGCTGTTCCGCGCTGGGAGGGATGCTCACGTCTACGGCTGGAGCGCGCTACAGGCATCTCGGATGGGAAGCGGGAGCTGAGCACCGACGGGCGACTGCCAAAGCTGGTGGGAACCCAGAGGAGGAGAAACGTCAGCCTCCACAGCCCGTGTGAAGCCTCCCGGGGTTCCCAGCAGGAGCAGCTCGCCTCAGGCAGTCACGCGGGAGTCCTGAAGCAAGGAAAGACGTAAGAAGGCATCTAGGCTATAAATGACACAGGCCTATCTATTTACAAAGTTATTCTGCTCTACGAACAGACCCCAGTCTCGGGAGACGACAGGGTTTCCATGATCCTCTCCGTTCACCCCAGCAGCAAGCTGTGAACAATCTCTTACCGTCCTCGTCTTTCATGTACACGACTAAGCCCCGAGGCTTAGCCCAGCCTCGCCAGATTCCCAGCTGCATGTAGGGCTCAGACAAACGCCCAGCTTTTCCCAGGTGGGAGGGAGAGATGCATGGAAAACGGAGATGCAGAAGGAGAAACTACAGCGTTTGCCGAGCGTCGGGAGCTGGAAAGCGCTGGCAGGAGCCAGCTCAGCCACGCATCTCCTACCTTCTGCTCCTGGGCTGGCCTTGGCCGGGGCAGAGCCCACTTGCAGCGGGGCAGCCGCCGACAAGCTGGTGTAGCCTTGCAGCCATCAAAGGGGAAAATCCGCGTTACCGGGGGAGCTGGCGCAGGAGGGCAGGAGGGCAGCCGTGTGCCGAGCTGCCCGTTCTCAAACCCTGCGCCCGTGTTGGCATAAGGACCTCGGCGCTGCTCGACACCCCTCCCTGCTCTCAAATGATGGAACTGAGGAATGGCATGGGCGTCTCGGGAGGGAGACACCGAGTCCTGGTTTCTGATCCAAACTTCTAGGCCCTCCGTCAGGCTCTGCTCTTCCCTGGAAACACCCGTTTAAACACCCCGCAAGGCACAGCAGAGGAATTAAACCAGCAAGCAATTTATAGATCACTTGTTTGATTTCCCTGCAAACCCTCACCCCCACTGGCTCCGTACCCCTCCCCGTCTCCTCAATATTGGTAACAATCTTCAGGTTTGCTAGAAAACAAACCAGGGAATAAAATTTTAAAAGCCATATTATTAATTTCAAACTCCAGTTGGGTAACATAAGGAGGAGGAGGAAAAAAAAAACGCTCTCTCGATCGTTGCCAAGTTTCAAAGGACAAACCCGAGTAGGAGAGAAATGTGATTTCCCAGCCTCGTCAAGGGGATGATAAACAATGCAGAATAAAAAAGGAAAAAAAAAAGATTATTTTTTTTTAATGACAAACTCTAAGAGAAGGTGATAGACATTGTCCTTTTCAGCTGGAAAGTGGAAACCAATTGATATTAATATGGTGTTAAAGAGAATATGAAAAAAGCCCTGTGCAAATTGGCAAGGGTTTAATTAGAGTCACAATAAAAACCAGCCCTGAAGGCATTTTGCTTTTTAGTCATTCACATACACCTCCACTCGATCGCATTTACAGAGCCAGGAAAATTATTAATGCTCATTATCCTGAGAACCTTTCTCTTGTAGCTCTAGGACATTAACAGACAGTTTTACACGTCGGGAGAGGGAGAGACACGTTTCACGGCCAGACCCACTCCACACAGATGGCAGACACCGGGCAGCTCTTATCTCAGGGGCTGGGATCAGCCCTGATGGAAATCACTGGTCTTGGTGGGTTTTTGGGGAAGTAGCATAAATTGAACCAAGAAATCACATTTCATAGTTCAAGTGCTGGAGTAGTGGGGAAGGACCCTGAAAAAGTCCTTCTCAAAACAAAACCACGGGGTCCTGTTTCTGCAGGACCTGGGCAAAGCCAGGCTTCTGGTGCCCTCTTGCTTAACCAGCAAGCGGGGCGCAGGTCGGGTTTGTTTTTCCCAGACGTGAACTGGCACTGCTGGAATTGCTACAAACCCGGGGGGAGGGTGGAATGGAAGCAAGGAGAAAAAACCAAAAAGAAGCTTTTTTTTTTTCTTATTTTGAACGTGGGAAAAATGTAACAAATGGCAAGGAAGAATTTGACAGGCTTCAAGGAAGGTTTGGAAATAACAGAACTGCAGAAGGCAAATGAGAATAACACTTAATTCATCCTCCTTAGGGTAAGTCTGTGATTTCCCTTCTTTGTACCCGTTTTGGCAGCCTTCGGACCGCAGACCGTGCCCATAAACTCATTCTTCTCCCCCTCTCACCGCACGACAGGCGACCGAGCACAAAAACGTCCTACGAACGTGACCACAGCTCCACCTGGACCGCGGAAAACACCGCGAGCAGCCAAGGGAAGCAGATGTCTAGCGGATCCAAGCAACCCAGAGACAACTCTCATCTAATCTACGCCTCTAGCCTACGTGCTACGCGGCTTTCCGCCGTGCCGCTACCCACTAGTGTGCGGAGGCACGAAGGAGAAGGGAAAAACACATCGGGCTGGCTTTAAATACCTGTTTTTTTCTGTGTTTCTCTCACGGGCACAGAGGCAGCGAACTCAGAGGCTGGTCTGATGATGCTTGCTTATGGTGGGAAGCAGAAATTCAAGGGCAGAAGACAGTGTGTAAATTAAAGGGTGAAACAGCACAGGGATGGGGCAGGGCCCTGACAGGACTTTTTTAAAAAAGTCTGCCTGGCCGAGCTGGCTTTAAAGCAAGGAGGGATTTGGTTAATGCTTCTAAAATTCAGAAGGGAGGTACCGATGGCGTATCTCGCTTTGGGACTGACCCAGCTGGGGGTTATTGCGTCTCCTGCAAATGGGTGTCTTCCCAGGGGCTGGAAGGGTCTTCTCTTCACAGGGTGTTTCCCCCGGGGTCCCAGGGAGTTCGATTCACAGCCCCTTGGGGTTGTCATGGCCTTTAAAGAAGTATTTTATATTTTGCAGGACTGGTGGGGGGAGGCATGTGGCTGGACAACAGCAGATCGGGATGAGGCTGTGCCTGGATTCCCTGTCACTGCTCAAAGTCACACGATGGGCCCAGCATGCTGTCCAGGTAAGAGAGACTCCCCCCACCACCCTCAGCCCCACACAGATGCCATCCTGCCCACCCCAGACGTATGCCACAAGCGAGGCAGAGCACTGCAAACCCTACGCCAGCTAGGCACTAAACACACCACCCACACGGACACAGCACTCGCCAAAAAACAGACCTAAAACGTTGCTACGGGTGAGCATGGATAAAGATCAAATGACCCCAAGTGCGTGGTGCAGATGTCGGTGTGATCCCTGTCACTGCTGGGGCTGTGGTGGCGATGTGAGCTCTGGGCACGGCTGGTGGATGAACCCCCTCCTGCCTGGGGACAACACGGTCTGGGCTGACGAGCACCTCTTGGCAGACCAGAGGCTCGCACTCTTGCCCAGGGGAACTCCAAGTCCGTGGAAGTCGGAGCTGAACCCTCGGCTTCCCGATTAACTACTCAAACAGGGTACTTCCATGACTATATCTATATTTGCATAAACATGCAATCAAGCTTCCTCATCCCTTTGACTGGCTTCTGGCAGCTCCCCCAGACAGACTGTTACTAACATACTGTGGGTGTAAAACGTCCTCCTGGGAAATATCAGGCCCGGAAAGCATGGCAAGGGGAGGAATGCGTGTCTAATTCCCCCATGAGCAGCTTAAAAAAAATGTCCTGCTGTTAAGTTTTATCTGCTCATTTCCAAAAGACAAGTGAACGCTGTTCACGGGGGGAGGGAAGGAGGAGCCCCTAGAAAAAAGACAAAAGTTATCCTCCACGGGGTGATTTTGGAAATTAGGAAAGCGTGTTTCTGGCGCGTGTGTGAGCTCTAGCCCCACGTGCTCCCTCACCGCTTGTATG